TAATTCATAGTGATGGGGGAGGGGGCAAAAATTATCTCTATGTCATATATCTCTAGACAAAAGAAACCACCTAAAGAAACTAATAAGCCTTCCACACAGGTCTGTACTTTAAGCTGGACACTGATGACCCTTGTCTTGAATCCTCATTATCCTGTCTCTGGCCTCCAGATCCAGATTAAAAAGGCATATGATATTGGATCAGGCCCACCTAGGAAGGGGAGAATATGTTGTGTATGGGGGAAAGATGGTATGAGTAACACCTCTGGGTGGATACTTTCCCTCTCCCTCTGCCATGGTAGCTGGCCCATTGTAGACAGACTGCTCTATCTACCTGGTATTCCCAAGTATCTCACTATGAACATGTCACATGGCCAGAAATAAGCCTTTTGAAATTCACTGATTAGGCCAGCTTTTATATGGCCTTTATCACCTCTTGCAGAAGCTTCTCAAAAGCTGAACTGCCCTAGCCTGGGTTGCTGATGCTCTGCACCTGCAAAGGCAGCTCTTACAAGGATTTCCTCTGCCCTTAGCCCTGTGTTGAATGCACTGCTTTCTCAATTACATGTCCCCCACTCCCCATCTCTCTTGTTTTACTTCATTTTGGTGAACCATAATCTCTGATAGCTTCCTACCAAGAGAAACAATGCATGGGAGGGAAATTTTTTTGAGATATCATGTATCTAAAAATACAGTCACACTGCATAATGATGTTTCAGGTCAATGACAGACTACATATATGATGGTGATCCCATATAGTTACAAAGGAGCAAACAAATTCCTATCACCTATGACATGGTAGCTATTATAACATGATAATATAAATGCATTAGCTGTGTATATGTGATGATGGTAGTGTAAACAAACCTAGCATACTGCCATTCATATAAAAGCATAGAACATAAAATTTCACACACAATAGTTATTTTTTTGTGTGTTTGGTGGGGGGTGGTGTTGGGGATTGAACCCAGGGCCTTGTGCATGCAAGGCAAGCACCCCACCAACTGAGCTTTATCCCCAGCCCCATACATAGTAGTTTTAATAAGTGATTATGTTACTGGTTTAGGCATTCACTATATATTTTGATCATTATTTTAGAATTCTCTTGGTTACAAAAAGTTTATTGTAAAAATAATGTGTTAAGTCAGCTTTGTTACTATTAAAAAATACCCAAGAAAATCAATTTAAAAGGAGGAAAGATTTATTTTGACTTACAGTTTTGGAGGTTTCAGTTCAAGACTAATTGGTCCTGTTGCTTTGGGTCAGTGGTGGCACCATACATCATGGTGGGAGCATGAAGTAGAGGAGGGAAGCAAAGTAAGAGGAAGAGAAAGGGTGAGAGTCCCATATTTCCTTTAAGGGCACATCTCAAATCACCTAAGACCTCCTATCAGTCTCTACCTCTTTAAGAGTCCACCACTTCCCAGTATCACCATGGATTGGGGACCAAACTTATCAAAAGCATTGCAAATGCCAGAGCTACACTGGCAGCAAACTCATTGATATGTTGACCATGTTTCTTCAATGCATCAATGGGCCACAGGGAGTGATTGACCTAAACCAACCAGGTTTGTTTAGCTCACTTTGTGATCACACAAAGATGAAACTGCCTAATGATGCTTTTCTCAGAGTATGCCCTTGTTAAGTGACTCATCACTGTACTTAGTTTGTAGTTTGGATGAGTGATGGTTGGAAAATAATTTTCCATTTCTCAAGGATTTATTTCCTTGATTTCTAACTTCTACTTGTTATTCACAAGCCTACAGCAGGATTCTGATCCTTGTTTGTATGTAACCTGCTGGTAATGTGAAGACATTTTTGTACCCTGTATTCTGAAACAGTGATATGGTGCTGGACCTCTTTTTTTTTTTTTTTTTCCTTTGTGGTGCTGGGGATTGATCCCAGGACCTTGTATTTGCAAGGCAAGCACTCTACCAACTGAACTATACCCCCAGCCCTGGTGCTGGACCTTCTGTGGGCCCTTTCAACACATGTTCTTTGGTCATAAAAACTTTTCTAGGATTAATTCATTGATGACTTTCTCTGGTCACTCTGTTGGGGCCCTGTTATTTAATCAATAAACTTTCTGGTTGGCTAATTTTTTTAAAATTTTTCTTTATTTTCCTTTTGTGTGTGTGTGTGTGTGTGTGTGTGTGTGTTGCTTCTTTTCGTTTTGGTCATGGAGTTTTCTTCAACTTTCCCTTCTAATCCTTATATTGAAAACTTCTTTTAAGTTTCCAGGGACTCTTTTTTCTTCATATGTTCTCCCTTAATGTGTTGTAATATCTTTTGAATTTTCCTAAGTGACATTATTGATAGTTTCATGAATGTATACTTTCTCTGCATGATTGGTTTTTTCCAACTTGCTTTTAAAAAATCTATTGTGGCTTTGTATTTCATGACCCAGGCTTTCGTGAGATACCAGGTCAGCTCTGCCTGCCTGCTCAGATTTGCCTGGGAAGGCCTGAGACTGATTAGAAGTTTTATGCACAAGAGCAGCACCATTTACTGTGGCCATCCCTATAGAGAGAGCAAGCTGTTTACTTTGGCAGCTGCAGATATCAGAACATTTAGGTGTTTCTCCTTGGTCTTATTTGATTCTGACAGTCTTAAGATTCTTCACTGTTCAAACACATCTTGATCTACTTATCTTGGCTGCTCCGCTTCTGCTGTTTCTGTCAAAATCCTACCTAGAAAGGAAACTATGAACCCACTGCTATAGTGAGTTGTTCTCCAGGGAACATAACTGGACCCATCTTGAAGACAGTTCCACATGGGTTTAGGACAAAGGAGACCAGGCCTGAGGCTCCAACAATCACCAAATGTTTGATGATTGATTGGACTGAGAAAGCAAGGGACTGAGATTTATATCTAGAATGACACCAGGCACAGCTGAGACTCTCTGGGAAGACACACCTATGGAAAACCTTTGGTTGGGGGCAGTCATAACAGAGATCCTTTAACTCAGGCCATGACCCTCTCCCTTCATTTAAGGCAATAGTAGCCTAGAGTATAATAGCCCAACAACTACAAGTTCTTCTGTATCCCTGTAGATAGCACTTGAAAGACTGGGCAAAATTCCACTGACTGGAGAGGGACAGGGAAGGGAAGTGTGGCTTCATTAGGCTCCTTCCTAATGAAGAAGTGACTGAGACATGTGGTGAAAATAGAGGAACATTCTGAATCATTACTTGGTCAGGAAACAAATCTCTTAAATGTCATCAACACAATCTGCCTGGTAGGAAGATGACTACTTTCTGCCAAACAGAGACCCTCCTCCAGGGACTTGGGCAGCTTAACAAGCTTTGTAGTCTCCCCAGAGGGCAGAACTCAAGTCAGTGAGAGGGAATTTCAGGGTTTTGTTACAGATACCCAAATACTCAAATGTTGACACAAATATACAGTTCACCACAACATGTAAACCAGAATGGCTTAGTTTCCCCCTTGGCTACCTGAAAATTGAGGTCTTTCCTACGTATGCTCCAAATTAACTCTGGGAAAACTAACTTTGCCATCGCCCTTAATTCCCAGCCTCTCTACTCTGGTCCACTGGGGTCAAATGCCTGAGTGGTCCTCACTTTCCCGACTTCTGTTGAAATTTAGCTCTAGTGTCTGACTTGTTCCAAGGCCATTTAGTCCAACAAACGAGTGGTTGCAGACTTTTGAGTTCAATGCTTCCAGGTTAGGGACCAGGAGCTGCCGCGGAGAGTCTGGTGAGGGCGAAGCTGTAAAGGGTGTATTAAAGTCGTTCCGAAGGCAGGAAGTTATGCACCAGTCTCTTCGCTGATGGCCCAAGACTTGGAGTTTGGGGGTGGGGAGCGCCTGCGATGGAAGTCAAGGGCAAGTTGGTCCAGACCCCGCAGGGACGCCGCCAGAGGGGCGAAGCCCAGCATTTCCTTCAGGCGGCCCAGTGGAAGGGTGGGGCAGGGTGGGCGGGGTCCTCTCAGCTGGTGGCTTTTGAAGCCTTCCCGACCGCTGTGGGAGAGGGGCAGCCTAGAGAAGTTGGCAGCGGGCCTGGGACGGAAGGGGGAGGAAGGGGCCCCACGTTCCCTGTACAGCAGCACCCGCTGCCCGGGCACGTAGTTCACTCCTATAAGCACAGGCCACGGTGGGCACATCACTTGGAGGCCAGATTAATCACCAGACCAGAGCCAGTCCTGATCCAGCTGAGCCGGGCTGAAAGGCAGCAGGGCGGCACCCTGTGTCCCCGGCTCCCGGAATGAGTCGAGGGAACGCCTGGCCCGCCCGTGTGAAAAGTCCAGTTCTATTCGTGTCCTTGCTCTGGCCAGTGCTGCGCTGAAGTGCAACAGAGAAAGAGCGAGGAGGTGGCCAGCGGCCTGAAGTTCTAGGCGCGGCTACCTGGGAAACCGGCAGCAGTGGGGTGCAGCGCGACGGAGTTCCGCCCCTAGGCGAGGGCGGCAGCTCAGCGCCCGGCCTCAACGGACACGCCTCCTTGCCAGCGCCCCTCACGGGAAGGACTGGAGGGACAAAGGGGTGTGCTCCAGAGCGCTCTCCTCTACCGCGGGGCTTAAGGTTGTCATCGCACAAAAGCTCTGGCAGGGAAAAGCCGGCCGGGTTCCCCGCTGAGGCGGGTACAGACAGCGGCCCCGCGCGGTTACACCCAGACCCGCCATCCTCGAACGTCGTGCGTCAGCGTGCCCCTCACCCGGCTCTAATTTCCGCCCCTCCTCCCGCCGGACAAGGAGGCACGCGCATTGGCGCGCGCAGGGCCTGCTGCCGAGTAAGCCCCTCTAGAAGCCCGGATTGGCCTGACCCGGTACTCTTCAGCCAATGGCGTCCAGCCCTGCCTTAGGCCACGCCCCCTCCCCAGACGCGAGCGCGCCACCGCTCGGCCCCGCCGGTGCGCGCCCCAGGCTCCCCGCCCCCTCCGCGCGCGCAGCTCCCTGCGGCCGCTGCCGCCTGTAACCTGCGCCGCCAGGATGTGGCTGGGGGCTGACGTCGGGTCCAGATGTGGCCCCAGCCCCGCCCACCCCCGAGGCCGGGCCGCCCACACCGAGCTGCGGCGCGCACGGCGGCTGTCCCGCCTGCCACAATGCGCGGCGAAGCTGTGCCCGCGACTTGACGCGGTCGTCCCTAACGTCGCCACTCGACATCCTTAGGACAGGCCGCCCCTGACGCCGCGCTGGGACCCTACTCGCCCACGCCCCCCATGCGCTCACTCCCCGGTGCCGGGTCGGGCGGACGCGGAGCCGCGCGGGTGACGGCAGAGGCGGCTGCGCGCCCAGCCTAGCCCAGCCCAGCCGGAGGAGAGGGCGCGCCGCGCCCCCGCCCCCCGCCTGCTCTCCGGAGGCCGTGGGTGCGGATGCGCGGCTGACGACTCGTAGAGACTAGCACTGCCGCCCGCCCGCCGGCCGGAGCCCGCAGCATGGCAGCCGCCGCCTATGTGGACCACTTCGCCGCCGAGTGCCTCGTGTCCATGTCCAGCCGCGCAGTCGTGCACGGACCGCGGGAGGGGCCGGAGTCCCGGCCCGAGGGCGCGGCTGCCGCCGCCACCCCCGCACTGCCCCGCGTTGAGGAGCGCCGCGACGGCAAGGACAGCGCCTCGCTCTTCGTGGTGGCGCGGATCCTAGCGGACCTCAACCAACAAGCGCCAGCGCCCGCCCCAGCGGAGCGCAGAGAGGGCGCTGCTGCCCGGAAGGCGAGGACCCCCTGCCGACTACCGCCCGCGCCACCCGCGCCGCCGCCTGCTTCCGAACCCGTCTCCCCCGGCGGAGAAGGTGCGGTAGCCGCGCCCCCCAGCCCCGCTTGGAGCGAGCCCGAGGCGGGACTAGATCCCGAGCGGGAGCCAGGACCCGCGGGGAGCGGCGAGTCCGGCCTCAGACAAAGGGGCCGGCGGGGCCGAAGTCGCGCCGACCTCGAGTCCCCGCAGAGAAAGCACAAGTGCCACTACGCGGGCTGTGAGAAAGTTTATGGGAAATCTTCGCACCTCAAGGCGCACCTGAGAACTCACACAGGTCAGTGGGGCGGCCGGGCGCCCAGAGCGCGCGGACAGGGGACGGCGCGGGCGGCCCAGCCACGCCCCCGGAGCTGCCCGCGGGGCGCGAGGGGAGGGCTGGGCGCGGGGAACGGTCGGGCGGAGGACGACCTCGCCCCTTCCCTCGCCTCTCAGTCCTGCGGCCGGCTTCGCGCGCCGCGTGAGGCGGTCCGGGTTCTTGGAGCCGGCGCCCGCCCGAGGACCGCGCCCCCGCCGGGCACGCCCCCTCCCGGGCGCACTCGGGCGGGGCCACGGGGGTGGATGTCGTCATCTGGGCCGGGGGCGGCGACCCCGCCCAGGCCTGGGGGCGACGCGGGCAGGTGCGCACGGATTGGGTGGGGGCTATAGGCGTCGCTCTGGTGGGTGGGCAGCCGGGGAGCCTGGGAGCTGAGGGAGGGTGGTATTTTACTGGTCTTCGTACTCCCCTCCCCCGCCCACCGGGCACGCGCTGGGGAGGGGAAGGGGGACCAGCCCAGGCGCGCGTTGGGCGAAGTTCACGCGGGGACAGGGTTCCCTTCAGCCACTCGGCACATTCTTCGCTCTCCTCTTCCTGTAATTTTTCCAGCGTTCTAAGGTTTAATTTGTCGTAACCAGAGCCCGCGGCTGCACTGGCCGACGCGGGGGGCGGTCCGGGTTAGTTGTTCCCCGCCCGCGGCTCTTTGTGGGAGCACCCGCCCATCCGGCTAGCGGGGGCGCGCTGGGCCGGAGGGGGGTTACTCGGCCCCGCGACGCTTTCTCTGGAAAGGAGCGCCCTGCCCACGGTCCGTCGGTCTGCGCCGCCTGTACCCAGCTCAGTTCTCACCTGCTGGTGGCCGGATGCGGCGGGCACGCGGCACCTGCCGGAGGACTGGAGGCCAGAGCCCGCAGCTGGGGGGGTCCGCGCCGCCACCTACCCCAGGGGAGTATTTCCCATCGCTCGGGCCTGATACTCTGTAGTAGATTCCTCTGTGAAAGTTTGTTGTTTGTTTAACCCCCTTTTCGTTTCTTTGTAACACAAAGACAACCATTTAATGGATAGCAACTCCCTTCCCCCGGTTTGTTTTAAAGATTGTTTCCCTGAACTCACGTGAATTTCTCTGGCATTTAACTCTTCCATTTTTGAGGCAGGTTCACAGCTTGAATACTTAATACCGTTACCTTGTTACCAAGGGTTGTGCATTTTGTTAAGTAGTTCACATGTTGATTAAACAGTAAAGCAAACCAAAACCCTGCGGCCTTCAAGACCCTAGAGCTGGAGGCCCTTTTCTCTTGGTATACTGGGAATTGAGCGGCCCGAGATCTGCAGGTGTAGGGGTTGGTGTATCTCTTAACGACTTCCCCTCGGAGACTGCGCTCCCGGTCCTAGCCCCTTGCTGCAGCCTTCCCCGAACCACGTGGTTGATTCTGCGGTGGAGGGTGAACGTGGAGCCTTTTCTAGGCATTCCGGGTCAGAATTAATTGTGTATGGGTCCGGGGTGGGGCGGGGCTCTCAGTTCAGCTTGGGAACGCTGCCGCGACGGTGGGTGTGGCCGTGGGGGAGGGGCCAAACTAGGTTCTGAAAGCAGGGGACTCTAGAGGGAGGGATGGGAGCAACACTTGGGGCGTGGCGGTGGTTAAGGTCTACCCGAGGGGTGGGGTATGAGGCCAGTGCTGGGCGGGGAACTTAATGATTGGGAAATCCTGGAAATCCTTCTGCAGCCTCTTTTATCCGCGGCCTAAAACCCGGCAGCACCAGGTAGCTGGCTTTTTGACTAGCCCAGGGTGAGGGAGGGTTGTGAGGGAGGGGTGGGCGGGGCGGTAAGGGCTTCAGCCCCGGGATGGTTTCCTGATAGGGTCGCCCCGTCTTCGGGTGAGCAGACGTCTAGGCTAGAAAGAGGTGTGGAGCCCGGAGTGCTGGGGACTTGCGTCTCCCGCAGTGGGATGAGGGCCCTTTCCTATAGTTTCTGGAAACACAAGATTGGCAGAAGCAACCCTCTTTGAGTGCTTGCAACAAAGTCTATTCTTAAAAGGGGGGAACCCTCTCTGTACTTCATGTGTGCTGAGATCAGAGTGAGGCTCCACCTATAGGTGAATGCAGGCGCCTGGACCCCTCATGAGGGCGGGAGTTTGAAATAGCACAGATTCTAAGCCGCAGAAGCTGAACTACTTAGTACACCATAGCTGGGAACTGCATTTATTTAGTACCCCAGTGAATGTGATTATGAAAGTTGCACATCCTAAGCACCTGCCTGTGATGCAGGGCATCTCTGGGAAACCCATTAACAGCCCCTGCTTGGGTGGAAGTACAGAGCATGCAGTAACTGGCTTTCATAGGCATAGAACAGGAGCTTGCTGGTGGAAGGAGACTGGTGTAGGACACATAAGGGAGAAGTCAGCAAGGCTGGCCCCAGGGGGTGACTGAGTTGCCAGGTTTCCAGATAGACCCTGACTCAGAGGTGGTTGTAGTTTGGTTTGTGGGCCATCAGAAGTATTCTGGGGAGTCTCTACAGGCAGTGGCTCAGGTCTTGCTGCATTTTCTACTTCATTAGGATCCTTCCTCCCAGGACCCATAGTGATTACATGGCAGGGTTGAATATTAAAACCACCTTAGCTAAGGAAGTAGGCAGCAGCTCTTTGACCAGGAAGGGGTTTCTAGACCTTGTGGCTTGGTGAGATCTATGCTTATCACCTGGAAAGTCCTTGGAGAAATAAGGTGGTGTGTGTGTGTGTGTGTGTGTGTGTGTGTGAAAACCCTTTGGGAATTGCAAGGGTCAGCCTTTATTTGTGGTGGTGGTGATGGGGACCTGCCATCCTTATGCCAGGGCTTTGCTCTACTCTGCCCTCCCATCCTAATCCCTGAAGAGCTGCTTGCAAAGATTACCCTTCTTAGTTAGCTGTGTGGGAGTGTTCTCTCCCTTTGCCACTTCCCTGATAGTCATCCTGTGGACTATTAACCCTCTGTCACATTTAGGTAATTGTTGATGTTAAAGCAAATGCATAGTAAAACAAACCTCTTTGCAGCTCAAGCCACTTGTTTATATAATTGGAACTTCTCAATCCAGATTTGGGAAATTTACTAAGTCTAACTTTGGGGAGTAGCAAGATGAGGTGCAGATTTTCTGGAGACTGAAGGGTTTTGGTGTGGAAAAGAGGACTTCCAGAAGATAGGGCAGGCTGGGGCCCTCTTGAGAGCAAATAGTCCCTCTCTGAACCAGCTGTGTCCTGCATCTGGAGACTCCACCTTATTTTCAGGTGGGGCCCAGTGGGCTGATAGTAGAATGGCCACTCAGGCTTTCTTGGCAGCACTCTAAATACATTCCTACCTATTTGTTCCTATAAAGAGTTGTTTTCCAAGGGACTCTGTGCCCTGTTTTCTCCCCAAACACTGGGAGCCAAAATATCTCCTTGCATTCTGCCCAAACTGGGCCATTCAGGAGCTCTAGGGCTCCAGGAGAAAAGTGGGTATGTGGGCCCAGCTGTTCACCTGCAGACCTTGAGTGATGCTTATGGTCACTGCCCTTGTTTGGGATTGGGATTCCCATAGAGTAAGATTGTATTCTTTCAGCATTTCCAATAATCTTTAGTTTAAAATTTATCCTTACTCACTGAAGCAGGGATTGGATCCTGAGTGAGATTCTTGGGGCAGGGTTTTTTGGCCTCTTCTCCAAGTGCACTTTGGCCTTGGAGTCTGTTTCCAAACACACTGGTGGCTGTGTTTCTCACAGGTGCTCCCTGATACAAGTGTCTGGTACAGCCTGTCAGAGTAAAGGGAGACTGTGTGGGATCTTCTTTACCCAGGCAAAACCAGGCTTATTAATGGCTACTGCTTTGTCCAGGGACGTGTCCAGGCCAGTGGCTCCTACCTCTGGCACCTCCACTGCCCCAAGCTTCAATCAGGCCTCCTTAGTGAAACTCCTCAAATAGTGCAGGAGCTGTGGACGGAATGTTTGAGCCTGCTCCTTCCCCCACTAAGCACCTCTACCCTATGCTGGTGCAGCCCCTTTCAGATCTTAATAGATTTACACATGTGTATCCACACAGATGTTTAAACACTAGAAAATAGTCTGCCCGAAACACTCTACCGCAGGTTATACTTAGCTTTCATCCTGTTGATTACTTGGATCTCAGATGTAGCAAGTCAAAAGGAAAAGGGTGAAATATATTGATAGCCATCCAAGGTAAGGGAGGAAACAAACCCAGTAAGTTACTAAGTTATGTGTGCTCATATGTGTGTGCATTTAACTGTATAACTGAAGAAACCCCACCAAACATAATTTCAGGACAAATGTGGGGCCCTGTCAAATATGTTGTTCCTTCTTTCAGTAGTCCCTGAAGCCTGCCTTAGCGACCCTGTAATAAGTGACATTTCTAACAGCAATTTTGAGATACCAGCACTCTGTAAAGTGTGTCTGGTTTGTGCTTTAAGAAGGCAGTTTAAAATTGTCCTTTAAAAAAAAAAAAAAAAACTTCTAGAGTGGTCCACTCAGCATTCACAATCATATCTAAGACTTCCAGACTGCTTGGTAGTGGCAGATATTGTTCTGACTTCATTAGTTTATGAAATTACTTAATCTTCAAAAGGGCCCTAGGAGGTAGACACTGTTATTATTACTAATTTTCAAATAAGGAAAATAAGGCTCAGATGGGTTAAGAAACATTCCCAAAGTCACACAGCAAGTGAGGGTGGAATTAGGGTTTGCATCTGGACAGCTGTGTGCCTAAGTTTCAGTGTGCCTACCATACCCTTTGCCACTGTCTCTGGACCTGCATTCCTGGTGATGCAGGTAAGCAAGTTCCCTTCCCTAGTATTAGAAGGCTATGTGTCCCCCAGAACATTGTTCCCCCACAAGTTTTTACTGTTTCTGAAATGACAAGGGTGTATTACAGTGATCATGCATATACTCTTCCCCTAGTTTTGTCCATTAATGTTTTGTTATACATTTCTCCTTTTCTTCCTTTCTTTTTTTTCTCTAACGTATTATTTGATGTATAGACTGTATTCAGTTTCCCAAATGAGTCTCC